CACATAACTCCAGGATCAGAAATCCCCATCTCAGACCCAGCCGCCTGTTTCTGAGCCAGGAGCAGCATCAGCAATAAAGGACTGGGGCAGCAGGGAGTCCTATACTCTGAAAGAGCCCCACAGAAGTCTGCATTCTGCTGTCTAGTGTCTGGAAAAGACTCTTGAGGCTTCGGCGAGCACTTTACTTGGCCTCTGTGAGGCAGAATTACACCAGGTGAAATGCAAGTCTGGAGATCCTGGAAGGCTGAGCAGTTCTACACTGCTGAGGTCTCAGTGTGTTGACTGAAATTAATTGATAGTTTTCATCTGTGTTCTTCATACAGGCACCATGCACTATAGAAATGACCTGGGTGAATTGCAACGAAGCAACTGAGTTCATTTTCTCAGGATTCACAGATCGTCCAGAGTTTCAGATCACCCTCTTTGTGGTGTTCCTAGTGATCTATGCTGTCCCCTTGGTGGGGAATCCTGGGATGATTGGGTTAATCAGGCTCAATTCCCAGCCACGGACTCCCGTGTACATTTTCCTCAGTAATTTGGATTTGGTAGATTTCTGGCCATCTGTAACCCTCTGCTCTATACAGCCATCATGTCCCCAGTTGGTGGCTGGGTCATTCCTTGCTGGGTTTGTAAATGGAACGATACAAGCAATTATCATGTTAAATTTATCCTCCTGTGGCCCCAGTGTCATTGACCTGTTCTTCTGTGACATCTCCCCACTGTTATTGTTCTCCTTCTCCGATACCAGCAACTACTGCCTGGTACTTCTGGCCATGGCTTGTTTGTTTGGGGTGTTCACCAGCCTGACTATCCTCATCTCCTATGTTTTCATCCTCTCCACCATCCTGAATATCTGCTTCGCCAAGGGGAGGCACAAAGGGTTCAACACTTGCACCTCCCACTTGACGGTCATCACCATATTCAGTCCAACACCAAACATTCATGGGGTCAGGACAAAGTGGTTTCTATACAGTGGTGACCCCCATGTTGAATCCCCTGAGCTACAGCCTGAGGAACAAGGAGACGAAGAACGCTCTGAATAGGGTCATGGACATGAAATGTTTCCCTCTAGCAATTTAGTGAGCAAATGGTGATAGAGAATCCCTGTATTTATGTGAAAACAGCAGTGAATGTTAGACATAACCACAATAGAAAACTAAGAAATGATAATACAAAATAGTAATTTCCTCTCTGCCAACCTTTTTTTGGCATTTTGACACTCTCAGCAATATTTGAAGCAATTCAGACAGACTTGTTTAAGTGAATCCATCGAGCATGGGAAGAGTTTGAAGCATTTTACCAAGGGCCATTTTTTAACATTTTCACTGATTTTGACACATTTCTTCAGGTCCCTCTAGTTCAATGTTGACAAAACGTGGAACCCTAGATGGAGATTTTAAAAGCAGGGTTGGGAAGTTAGCCACACCTCACACCAATGCCATCAACCTGTCTCTTGTGCCTGCGGGTCTAGAGATCTTTCTGCATGCCACAGTCTACAAGGTAACAGACCATATTAGCTTCCCTATGGACAGGCGGACCAGCGCCATATGATGCAAAAATTAAATACTGGAATTCCCATATTTACTGAGCATTGCAGGTAACATCCACTTCCCTCTGAGAGGCCCAAGGGGCCACCATGTAACTCAGACAGGTTTTGGGTCTCCCCACCCGTTCAATTAAAAGTCAGAATTTTCTGCAGGAAAAAATAATTCCATTCAGCATCATTAGGCCCTGTGACCTAGAGGTTAGTGCTCTGTGCTGTCCTGTTGAAAAGCAGCATGTGATTCTCTTGTTCATGAAACTACCAGAGGTAGAGTCTTAGGTGTGAGTTCTTTGTATTGCTCTGATGCCTAGACCAAAGCCTGAAACTAGGATTATAATACAGGTGAAGAGGAAAAGAAACTGTGGAAAAGAGTTTATACAATTGCTGCAGAACTGAAGGTGTGACATAACAACAAGAGCATACAGCATTTATAATCTAGAGGTCTCAAAGCACTTTATAGAGGAGTGCAAATTTCATATAATTCATTTTCAAGCTAGAGTACCTGAGATCTAAGGTGTTTAAGGGATTTGCCCAAAATTGCCCAGTTGGGGATGAGCAGTGTTGAGAGCACAACCCAAATCTTATGTACAAGAGTCTGGTACATATTACACTGGAATATGTTGTGAGATGGTGTGATTATGAGCTAGGCTACATCAATGGGAATCCTGATTAACTCTACTGAAATTATCAGTGTTCCTCTGGAGTTACGCCAGGGTAACTGAGACCATGGGCCAGACTTTTCTATCTGGAATGTATATAGACCAACGCTGGGAACTTACTTAAAAAGACTTTTGGAGAGGTGACCAACAAATGAAGTGGAATACAGTCACCTCATTCTAGCAGCATATTAAAAAGACTTCAGGGGAGTTCCAGACCAGCTGAGGAGATGGCCCTCTGTGTCCCAGGAAAGACATGGCAACAACATTAATTGCATGTGCTCTGCGCACCTGTTGTCCTGGGAGCTAAGAGGCTCCAGGGAGCAAATCTCAAAGTCATCAAAGCCAAATTTAACCTCCGCTACCCCAGGAAGCAGAGGTATTAAGGGTAACGTTGGTGTGGTTAGCAAACAGGGAAAGCTTCGACTCTTAGTCTGATTTTATGTTTTTGACCAGGTCCTGCTTCCATTCTTCTCAACTCATTATAAGCGAAGGAAGAAAAAACAAAGAGGTACCACCAAGTCATGGGCCAACAGGTCAGTTTCAGAGCATTTCTGCCTTTAGTTGAAAGGAGAGTGTGCCATTCATGGGAAGGGGAGGAAGGAATTATCCTGAGAGGAGAAATTTTAACTTTCCTGCACACATTTACTGATCGAAACAAGGAAAGAGCTTTACCAAGTGAGGGAGAAGTGACAGGAAAAGGAGAGAAAAATCGCCTGAATAGGAAGAGGGAAATCCAGCATCGATTCAAGGAATGTCTATTCTAAAGCCACTACCGTGACTCAGCTATAGTGCTGCAGCAGCGCCATAGTGTAGACTCTTTCCACATTGATGGAAAGGGGTTTTCCATCGATGTAGTTAATCCACATCTCCGAGAGGCAGTCGCTAGGTCAATGGAAGAATTACACTGAGGGTTAGTGCAACCTAACTGCCTCGCACCCAGTGTGAAATTTTCCCAGCCCTGTGCGACATACCTAGCTTGAGCTAATTTTCAAGTGTAAACCAGGTCTCAGAGAGACTACAGATGGAAAAGACCAGTTGCAGAATCTAGTCCTGTCTCCCTGCCCAGGCAGCGGAATCCTCTTCTGTTCTTTCTGTTCAGCCTTGTTGGAAATATTCCATTTGTCCCAGTTTCCCAGTAGAG